TTTTTTTTTCAATTCTATATCATTTCTACTATTTCAGGTGACGAAAATTCTCATGTGCACGCCATTCTTACCAGCGATAACCTGCTCGATGGCACCATTGAAACGGCCGATGAGCACTATTATGTAGAACCTGCGCAACGCTATTCCCGCGAATTGCGGGCAGCGGGTGTGCACAGCGTCATTTACAAAGTAAGCGATGTGCAAATGCGCAAGACTGCTGCGGCAGAACATTGTGCCAGCGAACGATTGCGCCGTGATATGCTGCTAAGTGATTTGAAGCGACGGAAAGCGGCCACGGCCAAAGCGGAAGTGCCAAAATTGCTGGAGCGGCACAAACGTTGGCTGCCGGATGAGGTAATTACAAACACAAAAGCCGAACCAATTATGCGAATGCATGCCATTGCGCGCCCATTGTTGACGGAAAGTCCATTTGGCACGCAACTTGTGCCATTGGCATTCATCGATTGACNGCCCATTGTTGATGGAAAGTCCATTTGGCACGCAACTTGTGCCATTGGCATTCATCGATTGACCATTCCGACTTTTATGCTTTCCACTTGTATCTATTTTTACAGTTGGCCACATCCACTGATGACCATCAAAATCCGCCGCTGCCATTGGACTTGGATGTCCCTTATAATGATGATTTCAGCATATTCGCGGGTGGGGGTACGCGTAATCGAGAACGAGAACGAGAACGAGACGGGGAAGGGGAACGAGAAAGAGACAATCGCGATGCCGCAGAGATCACTACAACGAAAACGGCTACTAACAATAATAACAATAACAACTACGATGACTACAACTACAATAGGGAGCGGCAACGGCAAAAGTATCAGCAATCGACAACAACAACAACGTGGCGTAATGCAGCTACAGTCGAACAAGATGCAAGCGACAGATATGGCGATTTGCTGCGAAATATAAACACGGCCAACAACAATAACATTAGTGGCACGAATTCGTCCACCACTGGCGGTGGCATACAGAATCGCAACATCATTGTGAACAGTTATAATCCGGGCAACAGCAACAGCAACAGCAACACTAATTACAACAACAATAATAGCAATAATAATAATAACAATGGCTTACGCAAAACCTATGCAAAGCACAAGAATATCATTGTTAGCACCTACAATAATAAAAACAACAATAATAATAACAATAGCAATAATCGTTCGTATCCCTACGACTTTGTCATAAATGATGGCAGCAGTAANGTCGAACAAGATGCAAGCGACAGATATGGCGATTTGCTGCGAAATATAAACACGGCCAACAACAATAACATTAGTGGCACGAATTCGTCCACCACTGGCGGTGGCATACAGAATCGCAACATCATTGTGAACAGTTATAATCCGGGCAACAGCAACAGCAACAGTAACACTAATTACAACAACAATAATAGCAATAATAATAATAACAATGGCTTACGCAAAACCTATGCAAAGCACAAGAATATCATTGTTAGCACCTACAATAATAAAAACAACAATAATAATAACAATAGCAATAATCGTTCGTACCCCTACGACTTTGTCATAAATGATGGCAGCAGTAGTGCAAATGGCAACTACAATGACAACAACAACAACAACAATCGCTTCGATACGAGCAACTTTTTCAACGCCAATTGGTCGACTATGTTCACCAACAACAACAACAATAACAACAATGATCGCCCCAGCCACAAGACGCACGTCGAAATTATAACAAAAAATGGCGCCACCAAGAAACCCAACATCATTGTAAACAATTATAACCCAGATATAATGCTAGTGCCAAATCCACAGAGTCCACACTTCAACAGCATGTTGATGACAAATTTATTGAGTGGACGAGGACGCGATGCCGCATACGAGACAAATTCCATCGATAGCGGCCGCTCGATGTACGATCGCAAAATCACCTGTATGCTATATCTACAAGCCGATCATACGTTCTTTCAGAAAATGGGCTCCGATGAGGCCAGCATTGAAGCGATTACGCGGCATGTGCAGCGTGCCAATTCGATCTACAAGAATACAGGTGAGTTCAAGGGAAAGGGTGGGTGAGTAAAGACAGTGGCAGTGACAAGTAATTAATATCATTTCGCCATTTTTGTAATTTATTTTCAAATATAGATTTTAACAATGATGGCAAGCCAGACAATATAACATTTATGATTAAGCGTATCAAGGTGCACAATATGAATGCGATCAGGGATCCAAGTTATCGATTTCCAGGCAATTATGGGGTAGAAAAGTTTCTGGAACTATTTTCAGGTAAGATCTAATTTAAAAAATTTAATAGAGGTATCAAAACATTTTTTCAAATAAATAATTTTTTTGAATGCCGTAGGCACATTATTCGTTTAATTTTCCTTAAAAATATTCCGTCGAATCAACATTTTATATCAACAGATGTATTTTAGACATTTTTTCGCCATGTGTAGGCAATGGCTATACTCTGATTAAAATGCAAAAGTGCCTGAAGATGGCTTTGCACAGAAGTCGAAATAACGAGCAATTAAAACAAATAAAAAATATGTAAACCAATAAAATCAATAAATTTGAGTTATTTAATTTTTCTATTCACAGAGGAAGATTACGATGCTTTTTGTCTGGCATACATGTTTACATATCGAGACTTTGAGATGGGTACCTTAGGCTTAGCTTGGACTGGTGACCTAAAAAATGCCGGTGGAGTTTGTGAGAAAAATGGAGTAAGTCTAATAAAACTAAAACTAAACTAAAACTATTTATTTGAAGCGTTTTTTTATAAAAGGAAATCTCTTGTAAAAACTTATCATTTTCCTCAAAACATTTTTATTTTTTTCTACTTCAGCACTACCGCGGCTCTCTTAAGTCCCTAAACACTGGCATTGTGACACTACTCAATTATGGTAAACATGTTCCTCCGGCTGTATCGCATGTGACATTGGCGCATGAAATTGGACATAATTTTGGTTCACCGGTAAGTTGAGCAACTAGAGAGAGCGAGAGAGTCAAGAAAAAATGTGGAAAAATTAACTCTTTCAGTACCAAAATTAACCGTTGACGAAAAAATCTGAAAAAAAATTGTAAACGTGCTAATTTTTGAATCTTTGATTTCAAAAAGACAATTTTATATAACTCTTACAAAAAATCGGTACTACTTTAGTCAAGGATATCACATATTAATTTTGGTCCCGTTTGGAGTAGGTTAAGGCGCGTCGCACAGGGGGCAAAGTTCAGATCACTCTATGAAAACGTCTTAACCGACTCCAATCGGGACCAAGATTTATACATATGTGATTAGTGTGACCGTGGTATTATCGATTCAGGCGGTGAGACTGAAAAAACTCTTTCATTTGATTTTTAAGGATCGCCCTAATGTACACATATACGCACATGTGTTACCATGTTTGGCAAGGCCACGTCCTCAAACGTTATTATTTGTATTAATATTACTTATATAAATATATTATATTATGGAAATCAAATAATTTCTTTAATGAATTAATTTAACAACCAATAAGCTTATTTCACATTTATTTATTTTATTTTTTACTCTCATTTCATAAAACACACTTACATTTCATATTTGTTCCCATTTAT